GGCAGCACTAAGCAAGACAGGAGTCATTTTAAATCATAAGCCTCTCATTCATATAATACTCTCTGACCAAAGGCCAAATTAAAAAGAATCAAACATTTTTAAAAAACATACAATGTGCAAAGAAAACATATTTTTTATATCCACATCATCTCCATAATCATATCCATTAACTGTTACTCTTAATCTGTGATTTAGTACCTTAATATTAAGAGATATTTTACTTTTTCTAACAGTGTTGTCAAGTGGAATCGCAGATTACCTACACGCAGTCTGAGGCAGTGATGGCATTCTGCCTGAATGAGTAGGAATAATCAACCTCTCTTACCTGAATAATCAGCTAAAAAACTACCTACCCACATCACTCACACTAGGTTAATCGTTGTTAAACCTTCGATTTCAGACTAAGTAGAAATGCAGCTCCCTACTCCTGTGGAAAGCGCAACACGCAAGGCAACCAGCTTCTATCCATCGGGGCATCTGCCCAGCCCTGAGGTACGAAGCATCTCCCCCTCCACCTGGGGGGGACCAGGAGGCAGGGTACCAAGGTAATGCGTTACTACAGCTGAGTCTGCCTAATCCTTCTCTGCCTTAGCAACTGTTTCCAAAAGCACTTCTTGAAATACTAGTTTGAAATCACTAACTCCAGAAACATTCAATCTTCTCCCCTGGCAAAGCAATCCATTTGATGCAATGGGTTTAGGGTTTATGAGAACAAGAAACAATTAAATGACTCAGTATAATAGCAAAACAACCCCACATTTACATTTGCACGGAAGAAACAGTACTGTGGTCAACACGTTTTAGAAGATGGGAGGTCAAGAAGTTCACAAAGCCAATTATATGACAAACTGCTTGAAAGAAGACTTAACTTAGTGATCCAGCATATTCCTTTAGTGCTGTGTTGAATAACGAGACTTAAAGCTGTAATATCTTAACATCATCCACCCCCACCAGAAATACAAACACTTACCTAAATCCTGCTAAATTAATATTGTTGGGAAAAGCATGTATACCTTTGTAGAGATGTGTATCTATTTATGGTATGTTAAAAAAATTATTCACTTCTAAGTTTAAATTATCACTTGAGTAGCAGTCCCAAATAAAATGAACATGGCATTAAAGGAGACCTCTCCATAGCTGAAAAAGCCTGACATTGAAAACCTGAATCTTGAACTTAAGAGTGGTCTCCTGTCCAGGAAGAAGTTAATTTAAAACACAGGAGATGAACTTCCACAGGGACCAACTTGGTGCTGCTCAAAGTCTTCCTTGCATTACTTACCCTTGCGTGAGGAAAACATTTCTTTTGTATTTGACACTAAGACCTTGCTCTTTTATCATCAGTATTAACTGATTGGTTTCATAAGCCCCACTGTAAAGATCTTCTTTCTTTTGGGGGGATATGTGCCTGGTTATTGCTCACAAGTTCATGTTCCTGAAAACCATACTGATTTCCTCCCCCAGCACACTACCATTTGCACAATATTTGTCTCCAGGATGGCACCTGTCTCAGACCTGAGCCTCGGTTCCCGGCTTAGAGAAACGATGAAAATACTACTCAATGAGACCTTACTAGTGCCTTTAATAAAATGCAAACATTAATCTAGGTGTAACTGAAGGACAGATGCCACCTGTCTTTCCTATCATTGACTGATAACCCAAAAGTGAGTGTGAGCATTAGAATTAATTTTAAAATCTAGAACATGAAAAAGATTAATATCTACACTCAGTTATTTCAAAAAATATCAATGTTTATTATTTATCTCACTTTCTCTCGAATTAGAAAATAACAACATGCAGCTGGGCAAAGAACAGTCCCAACAGTCTCATTAACTATGCTATCCAGATTTGAAGTAGCTTGAGCACACATACTTCCACGGGTGTCCTGGGAAGAATACAAGAATGCTGCCCAGATGGGTAGGGGTGGGATTAGGAAAGCTAAGGCACAGTTGAAGCTGAATTTGGCGCGGAACACAAAGAATAGCAAGAAGAGTCTTTACAGTTACGTTGGCCAGAAAAGGAAGATTAAAGAAAATGTACCACCCCCAGTAAATAAGACAGGAGAGCAGGGGACAACTGACATGGAGAAGGCTGATGTACTCAGTCATCTCTTCTGTGAGGACAGGCTGGGAGAGCTGGGGGGGCTCAGCCTGGAGCAGAGAAGGCTCCGGGGAGACCTTCCTGCAGCTGCCAGTATGGAAAGGGTAGGGGTGGGATTAGGAAAGCTAAGGCACAGTTGAAGCTGAATTTGGCGCGGAACACAAAGAATAGCAAGAAGAGTCTTTACAGTTACGTTGGCCAGAAAAGGAAGATTAAAGAAAATGTACCACCCCCAGTAAATAAGACAGGAGAGCAGGGGACAACTGACATGGAGAAGGCTGATGTACTCAGTCATCTCTTCTGTGAGGACAGGCTGGGAGAGCTGGGGGGGCTCAGCCTGGAGCAGAGAAGGCTCCGGGGAGACCTTCCTGCAGCTGCCAGTATGGAAAGGGGACTTGTAAGAAAGATGGGGAGAGACTTTTTACCAGCGCGTGTATCGACAGGACAAGGGGCAATTGTTTTAACCTGAAAGAGGGTAGGTTTAGATTGGACCTAAGGCAGAAATGTTTTATGATGAGGGTGGTGAGGCAACAGCTTATCCAGAGAAGTTGTGCATGCCCCATCACTGGAAGTGTTCAAGGCCAGGCTGGACGGGGCTTTGAGCAGCCTGGTCTAGTGGAAGGTGTCCCTGCCCATGGCAGGGGGGTTGGACAAGATGTTCTTTACAGGTCCCTTCCAACCCAAACCATTCTACAATTCCATGATACTTCAACTATTGTTATCCAAAGCAACTACAATGACACAAAGATAAGTCTTTTTGCTAGAGCTCTAAATAAAATTCTCTTGATTTCCATCCAGTTACCATAAATCACCCACTTTCCATTCATGAGGTGCCAAAATATTTTCATCCATTTAGCAGTGATAGCACAAGGGACATGGCTGTTGGAGAAGTCCACATGAAGCCCAGGACCCACTTCTGTGTCTATTGAGATCGCACTTGGAGAGTGGGAGGAAGTAAAGCTGTATTATCTCACTTCCAAGCAAGTATTTTGCATCTCTTTGCATAGCTATGCACAAGAGAAAAAACAAGCAGAAAGACTGGATATTTTCTGATACAGATTTTAAACAAGCTGGCACTGCATCAGTTCTAATGATCCAACTATTACCGGTCTCCTTCAAGGGGAAGTCACTTGGCAAGAAGGAGGGTCTTACAGGTGACATGCTGTAACCTGCAACATTTTCTGTGTAAATAAATGAACAATTTTCTACCACTTTTTTTAGCACACCTAGTATTTATATGCTAACATGTCTACAAGCTTGGAAAATATTTCCATTCCAGCTACTCCAATAAAAAAAAAACCCACCGTGCAAAAACAGAGATCAGGCGTAGGTTTTTGTTTTGTTTTAAACATGTCTGCCAAGTACAATGAGGAGACGTGAATGTCAGCAAGAGTTCAGCACAACTAGTGTCCAATTTTCTGGAAGGAGCCAGTTGTTCCTAGAGGGGACACAGGTAAAATAACTAACCAGTTCCAGGCTCTAGAGGCAAGCAGTGTGTCAGGATTGGGTTTCTCCCAACCACACACAGAACAATGGTCAAGTAAGCACTACATCAAAATGTTAAGATCTGATCGAGAGGTTTATAAAGAGACAGAGTGCAGGGCCCTCTCTTACTTTAATATTTTAACACGGGATCACAAACATAGAGGAGAAATCCAGACATTTCAAAAGATTTTGCCCATTATTTTCTTAGTCTAGATTAAGCAAAACACCAGTAGAAATGAGTGCCTGTTTAGAAAAAAATCACAACTTAGAAAATGGTAGTGATGAAGCTACCACCCTGAGGAAATTGCACATGGATTCAGAGAATGTGTGCTGATTTATGGTAGTACGACACCAAATGTATCCAGACCAAATGTTAAAAAGCAAGGAACCTTCACGCACTAAAACACTTCTAAAAAGTTTCTGTTTAGTAAGGACTCACTTTTCCTCAAAGGAACAGAAAAGCTCATCCTTGAAGTTGAGAAAACTCTTCAGCAAGTGATGACTTCACTGCTCATTAGAGAAGTATATAATTAAAAGGAAGCGCCCATAAAACCAAACAATGTATGCACATTCATTGATGAAACAACGTGAATCCTCAGTACCCATGAAAGCAGTACACCCTCTCTTTTCTCCTCACTGTAGCCAGGGATGCAGGTGACTTTAAGTTTACTAAAGGTCACAGGAAGAATTGAACTCCTCGCTGCCCGGCCATTCCATCAAGGAATCGGCTGCTTCTGCCAATACAATCAGTTGCAAAGTACCAAACATTCGCACGCGGCTGCAGAGTTCCAGTCCCTTTGGATTAACTGGACACCTTCACCTCAGATACTAAGTCAGGTGTAGCAAAATGAAACTGCCTCTGCTTCCGAACAGCTCGTATTTGAGAGATTCTTTGTTCACCTTTTGAGCTGGGAAGTGAACTATCTTAGCAGTGAAAGCTTTTCTTCCAAGTAAATTATGTTTTATTCCAAGTAAATCAAAAGATGCATAAGACAAATTTTGTGGCTAAAGAATTTACAGAGTCCTAGTTATATGCATATAGTTAGTTATACACATTTGTGTGTCTGCTTAAAAAGCGGGCTTCATTTTGCAGTACCTACCGTGGCCTCACTGTAACTTCACATAGAGCATGATATCAAATTCTGTCTTAGATGTTCGTTTCCCCTGTATCACAAGGCCACACCAGCAAAGAAAACTTGTTATTTCCTCATCAGCCAAAAAAGCTACAAAAATTACTTTCAAGTATACGCAACTCTGCTTATTACAAAAAGAAAAGTAGATTGTTAATTAATTAATGCAAACTACCATTTGCTCTTACTGTCAAACCTGATCAAAAGTATGTTTTACAACATACATTCAATGAATCACGTAAGCAAAGGTGCAGTTACAAGAGCTACAAAATAAATGGGAAAAAGACTTTATGGAAGGAGCACCATCTTGCCTCGAGCACCACTGCTATGAATAATGTCTTCATGAGCCTTAACTACTTTCTCCAGTGGATATTCAGAGCCTACAATTGGTTTCAGCCAGCCAGCTTCTATGCCGTCGAGGAGTGCTGCTGCACATTCATGCCTCTCCTCCTGCATGTAATAAGACAGCATTTACCACAAGGTCTTCACATTTTAGAAAAGTATTGACTATTTATTCAAGTGTTAAACCGAATTTCACAAGTCAAAAATATTTTATGATGTTCTGAGATTAAATCAAAACGCAACAGAATGAACAAACAAGTTACTTCCAGTGAAATTATGCTTCCATCCCTACAAACGATTTTAACTGGAAATAGAGAGGTGTTGGGATAAGCCAACAAAACCTTATTTAAAATAAAAATGTTTCTTACCTCAGTTGCAAGAAACAGACTAACTCCAATTATGCTAGATTCCTTACTCATCGTGTCTCTCGGATTTATCTCAACAGGACCTCTACTGCCCACAACCTGTGACAAACGAGTTCAAAGATAGTTCAAGTTGTAACTGTTGAGCTGCGCTGCTGAACGCCCAAACTGAAGTCAGTGACAAAAGACTTACCATCACCCTTCCCGCGTAGGACAACAGTTGCAAGTCAGTAGCAAGATTGATGTTAGAGAGCATTTCTATTATTATATCAACTCCTTCCATCCCTGTGTATTCCTATACAAAACATATTATGTTATTTAAATCACTCCAGCTAGTGCTTGGGTACCACTGCTTATTTCATATGCTACAGATAACATGCATTTTACAGTTTATTGTTTACATTTTAAATACAGCCTTTGTACTAACGCTGACAGCTAGTAAGTTTAATTTTAGCATATTTTGATATGCTGTATTATGATATGCTACTATACTAGAATTTGCTGGAATGCCAGGGTTTCTAAATGCCACTGCCCGTGAAGGAAGCTCAGGCTCAGCTCTTCCAGCCTGGAAAAGCTTTGCCTTGTATTAAAAAGGCAGTACACTATTGCTCCTACACAAACTTACTTTAAAAAACTTCTTTAAACAACTGTTCTCATTTTGTTAGTAAGAAAAATACATACTGCATCACCTAGCCCTGATACATGCTTACCTTAATTTTATCAATGTAATTAGCTTCTCTGTGATTAAATGCTTGGTGAGCGCCATTTCTCAGAACCATGTTCATGCCTTCCTCAGTTCCTGCTGTACCCAAAACCTTTAAACCACAAGCTCTGGCAATCTGACACGTTGCTATTCCCACCTGCGGGGAGGGGGGAGAAAGAGTATTTTTTCCTCTTTCTTTCTTAGCATTTTACATTTTATATATTCTACTAGCAACTTGGAGCTTACCCATTTAAAAAAAGTGATCTAGTAACATTTTTTCTTTTAGCCATAATAAGTAATTTGGATCTTAAAGATAGCCAAATAGTCTTTAAAAAAAGAAAATATATTTACAGAGGCATAGTGAAGTTTTGTGGTTCTTTTAACAGCTACCAGCATTTGATATAAATCCATGTAGAACGTTGTCTATCTGTTAAAGCTGGGCCATATATATTTGATACAAAGCCAAGGAAATTCTTCTCTTCACAGAATCATCTGCCATTGCTGCCAGCGTTATATATTGCAAAGAAAATCTGCAAGCACAAAGTTTATCAACGCTGCTTTTGCACCTTTCGCAAACAGATTAAATGTTGCCTTTAGAAACTAAAGTCTCAGTGTCTCCTATCAGCTTTGCACTCCAGAGGATGTTCAGGTGAGGGACGCCCTCGCAGAAAGCCGACATCGGGGCCGATGGTCACTTGAGGCGCACCCCAAGGCCGTCTCTTGGCTTTGCTTCAGGTCACGGCGACGGGGCGCGAAGGCGC